ACAACTATACATAATTTATAAATGTGTTAGTGAAGATAAAAATTCACAGATTATGCCACTGGTATTTGCATTAATTTTTTATAAATCTGAAGAATACTATAAAATATTATTTCAGGATTTAATTAATTTTAGCAATAAACATAATGTTAATTTATAATTACAATTTATTTTAACAGATTTTGAACAAGTTACAATTAATGTCATCTATGTAGAATTTTGAGAAATTCAAAACAAAGGTTATTATTTTTATTTATCTCAAAATATATATCGCAAAGTACAGACTTTTAGTTTTATTATTCAATATAGAATTAATGAAAATTTTAGTTTATTATTCATCATATTTTAGCACTTACTTTTTATCTCATAATAAATTTCTTATAACTTTTAATGAATTGAAATCTAATATGTTAACAAAAGTAAGCCAAATTTTAAATTAATTTGATATTTTTATGTTTATAAGAAAATTAGACATATATTATGAAATGAAAATATAATTCAAGTTTAAACTATTATTTTTACCTTTATTTTGATCTATTATTGACAATAATAAATATTTATTTCTAAAAACTCAAAATAATGTGAAGGCCTAACATAGAAAATAGAAAATATTAGAAGATCGTATTTATATAAGTGTATTTAAAATTATAAAGGAACTAAAAAATAAGTGTAACTTTATGTAAAATTTATTTTACAAGGTAACATGACTTACAAAAAAATTAAGATCATGAATGTGAAGATTGTATATAATAATGTATAATAATCGTAAAAATAGAGAACTTATGAATTACCTTAAAGAGATTGCTCATAATTTTTCATTTTAGATTTGTGATTTTGTTAGATGAATAATATTCATTTTTTGCAAAATATAAAATTTTCTTATTTCAAACTACAAATAAAAAATATAAAATTTTAAAATTTTTGGTGAAATAACTATATTGGTAAAATAATCATTTGTAATCTAAGTATTGATAAAATATACCTATTGGTTAAATAATTGTTAGTTAAATGATTATCAGTAAAATATTTGTCAGTAAGTTGAATATGATCTGATTCTTCATATTCTTCTTTTTTAATTTATTATCATTTGTCTTTTTACCTTTTGTTGATTTTTTTTATTGGAATGTTGTAATTTAGAAGAAAGTTGAAGCAATTTAATATCAGAATACTTTAATCCCTCTTACTCTTCATGTTTCTCTTCAGTTTTTTAATTTTTACTTGGAATATAAATATATTCATCATTATCAAAATTTTTAAAGAAACACTTTCTATTTAAGTTTAAAGATCCTACGTGATTGTTTATTATTCTTGAATAAGTTTGAAGAATTAATACCAATGTAAATAATTTGTCAGTGTTATAATTCATGTTATTATTTTTATTTTAAATAAAAAATTAAAGTTGTATATGATAAATCATCCTTAAAACAAATATAATAATTAAAAATTTAATTTTAAAACCATAGATATTAGATCGATTTTTAGTTTACATGCATAATAGTATTGTGACTGAAATTGAAGATGAAATTCAAACGATCTTCAAGTATTTGAAATTTGAGATTCAAAAATCAGAACTGAAATTGAATTCCAATTTCAGTCATGATCTTATTGGTCAATTTCTGTATAACGATTTAATTTCAGTTAAATTTTAATTTCAAATATGAGACCATCTGAAATTGGGATATCTGAAATTAAACTTCAGACAGAATCTAAATTTCAAACATGAGGTCCGTCTGAAATTGGAATATCTGAAATTAAACTTCAGACAGAATCTGAATTTCAGGCGTGAAAAAAAATTAACGATTCCTTTTCTCTATAAAAATATTTATAAAAAGTTAAGTAATTTTATTTTAAAATTTGTCTTTCAGCTTCAAAATAGAATAATTATACAGGTAATCATAAAGGTAAGAGTTTCTTTTCTATTCGCTTTTTTCTGATTTTATTTTTAACTTTTTCTTCTAATTGAATGATTATTTTTTGCTTTTCAGGTTGGATCACTTCGGTCTGAAGTTTTAAAAAAAATAAAAAAAAAATAAACCTGAAAAATAGATGAAAACAAAATTGACGCAGCATCCGGTAACTTGCATGAAAATAAAATAGAAAATAAAACTAAAAATAAAAAAATAAAATAATGAACTTATTTATTAGCCGAAAACTGAATAAAAATAAAATCGAAATTAAAATAAATTAAAAAAATAAAAAATGAAAATAGAATGTAAAAAAAAAAAAATCGAAAAAAAAGAAAGAAAAAGAAAAACTTACATTAAGCAGCAGCCCGTATGTGATCAAAAATCCTAAAAAATAAAATAAAAAGTAATAAAACGATAAAAAATAAAAGAAAGAAAATAACCCATAAAAAAAAGAAAAAAAAAAATATTAGAATTTGATGCTACAAAATCTAATTAATAAATGCCGCGAAACTAAATTATAATCAGCTAAAACTAAAAGTCTGAAATATAAAATGTTAAAGTTAACTGCATTTACGAAATTGTAAAAAAAAAAAAATTGGCATATTGTGATTGGTACTCGAATTCTTACTTGAATCAAGATTCGAGTCTCATTTTGACTCGAATCAAAAGTTGATACGAATACGAGTCCAGTCTCTATTCGACAGTACAGTTCGGCTTTCGTCGTATCGAAAGGGTTTCGTCTTTTTCCTTATTATTTTAATATAGTTCGTCTAAGTTTCGACTGTTATTCATAGGTTTCGTCCTCATCTATAAAATGGCTTTTAGCAACTTGAAAATTAGTCGATATTCAAATATTTGGTAAGAAAAGTAGTTTAAAGCTTTACTAAATTATGTTAAATAGTTAATTTTATTTACTGTATAGATCAAATATAAACATTAAATTTATATTTTCAGTTTCACGAGGAATTTCGAATTTATTTTTTAAAAAAATTACGTAAAAATTTGTTGATAAGCAATACGAGGATTTCTTCAGGAAAATGTCTTTTTCGCTTCGGAAGAAAAAAATAGAGAGCAAATTTATGATCCTTTTAATAAATCTTGGAGAAGTGAATGATAATAATAACCAGTGTTTGTTGGCTGCGCCTAGGGTTATATCGTTTGGTCCAAATAGACCGGTATTTCATTCTCTTATGATCAGTCCTGGGTTCGGTCATAAGACCTAACTTTGAATCGGTCTGGCCTAAAATTTATAGATACCAGATTGGTTTTATTTAAAAATGATTTCTTAAATGTTTCCATAATAATTTCTTGGGTAAAACTCATTTTAACAAATGTTATTTACGGCGATTTTATAGATTATTACGACTTTTTCGTAGAACCACATAATAATAGATAAGTTTATGAATAAGAATCGAGGACAAATTCATTTCGTGCCGTATTATTAATTTTTTTTTATTATATTTACATTCAATCAAGAATGAACAGTAAACACATGCATATTAGGCTTTTTTTGTTGGTAACTGTAACATAAATCTTAAATTACCAAATATAAATATTTTTTTTGACTTCTTTTATTTTTAGGTTGTCAGCTTTACCAAGACAAGAATAAATTCTGATGTTCATTTAGATCATTTTGAAGACCATAGTACTGAAGTTTCTTCGTCATAACAAAGAAATCCAAGACTTTGAGGATTAGTACAATGAATAATTTTTTTTCACATAGGAACATGTAATGCTCAGATTAATATTATAACTCGAGGCGTTCTCATAATAATGAGCCTTTTTCATCTATAAAAGATATTTTAATTTAACTTATTTAACTAATTTAACTAAAAACAACATTTTGTGTTATTAAGAAATTCTGTGTATATCTTGGAAAGCATTCAAAGGTTGCAGAAATTCTGCATGTATCACTTATTTATTTTCCGATTTCTTCCGAAAGAATTACCTGAATAAAAATTATTACTATTTTTTTTGGAGAACATTGAAATTTGATATACACATGATATTTTGTCCAAAAAAGCATGATTAATTAATAAATACTTTATAATTTAAAAGAAATTTAAAGATTATATTAGCTTACAACAAAGGGATCTAATTATTTGAATAAATACAAAAAAAAAATATGCGTCATTTTCTTGCAAATAATCAAAAAAAGATGAGATTTAACATGATCCGGAAAAACTACTTGTTGATCATTACCAGAATTAATTATGTTTTTTGGCGTACTTCCAAAGAAAACGGAATAGATTTCCCATGGAAACATGTAATGGTTAAGATGAATGTCCATTATGACAATGAACTTTCTTATAACTTTTCAAAAATTTTTAAAATGACTAAATACAAAGTGTGCACTTTTCGAGTATTACGGAAGAAACTTAGGATCATGAATTTGTAATTACTAAACATCTTTTTCTCATGTGAAAATACAGTGTAATACACAATAAGTTATTTAAATTTGAAATACACGAAATTTTGTCTTTACTATACATTAAAATTTACAATATTAATTTTAATAAATTATGAACATATCAGATCAACAAGATTTAAAATTCATCACAATTATTTTGAGCGACCAAAACAATCAAGTATAGACTAACGCGTTTTTTTTCCCATGGGAAAATGTAATGATTAGATGAATATTCAACTCGAGGCGTTCTCATAATCATGCGAACTAATTAAGTTCGTCTGCATTATAACAATGAACTTTTCTAGTGTATTATTCAATATGGAAGAAATTCTATTCTACATGCATTGTTCTTTTATTTCACGATTTATTCCGAATAGTAATGGTGGTGAAAATTATTTCTACATTTGGGTGAAATTACAAGTAATCTTTTTTTCATGTGAAGAAGATTATAAGATTCAATGTGTAATGGCCGGGATTTTGTCAAAAGACATTTTTAATTTTTTTCATCTAGATTTAAAATCATATCATTAAACACAAAAAAAAAGATGATTTGAATCTGGAAAACTATGATCTTGGAAACTAATATTTAAGTAGGGCACCTTTTTAATTTCGTCTGCTTTACACAACGAATAATTTGTAACAAAATTTTCAATACTCAGAATAAACACCAATACTTATTATCTAAAATGACTTTATACAAAAAAGATGGTACAATTATTGCTATTTAACTTCGCATGCTTTTCTTTCGTTTTATGCACTAATTAGACAAATTTTTCCGACATTCTTTCAGATAAGATTGAATATGAAAAAACACCCGGTTCTAAGAAACAAGGTTACATCGTAACAGTTTTAGGAAAAAAAAACCCCTCTGCTAAACAGACATACGCCGTTGGTGACACTCTCAATTCTAATAGAACAATTGGTAAGTTCACCGTTCATTTTCCCGTAACGAATGCGTTCATTAATTAACCTGTAATATTTTATTATTCCCTTTATTCGTGTCAAGTCGTCGAAGAGGACGAAATCCTTCGCAAATTATCGACCTAAAGGAATTTCATTTCAAGTTCTTCATTAAATAGTACTTTTTGTGTTATCTCATAATAAATTGAGCTCCTTTGTTTGCATTTGCTCCATGTAATGCATTATTTATTTTAACTGTCAATTACCCACGGCGTTTTTACAAATTTTCTTCAATTTTGTGATACTTAACGTTAATCCTTCGAATGATTAGTGCACCTTAACGACTGTCTTTTATACAACGAATTCTATTTATTGACAACTTGCATTTTATAACAAGATTATTAGCGCAAGTATTATATACAAAAAAAAGCGGATGTACTTTTCAAGATAGTGTAAAAGTTACAGCATGTTGAAATTTTTCGTAAAACAAAATTCTCTGCGCATATCTATATGTTTAACAAATACCACTCATAATAAATATTAATATAAATTTTTGCTGATGATTATTACCAGAATGCTTTTTACGCGTAAAAAAATTTTAATTATGAATACTTGAATGTCCTCGCATAATATGAGGCTAGCGATTTAACGATAATGTTTACATAATATCAAATATTTTTCGAAGGTAATTACAGAAATTCACTGTGTAACATGGAAGAAATTCAAAGTTGCAGAAATTATGCATGCATTATTCTCTTTATTTCACGAATTTTAATGAAAGAATTACCTGAATTGCGAAAATTATTATCACGTTTTTTGGAGAACTTACAAATATTTTAATTATTGAACATCCAATGTAAATAATACGTCACGTGTATTTGTCGGAACTAGTCCCGAAAAGGGTCGGGACCCGACCGGCCATTCTGTAATTCGATTCGACCCTATAGATTTGGGTTAATTTTACATATTAAAGTGTACTTAAATCCTTAAATCTGAATATAATCTATGTAATTTATATTCTAACGGGTCGAGTTATATTCGGCTCACGGGTCAAGACCCCAATTCGAATCGGCCGACACTTCCGGAAAAACTCTTTGTAGATCATTACCAGAATTAAATTAATGCTTTTTGGCCGAACTTACGAATTTTTAATTATTGAACTTCTTTTTTTTCTCATGAGAAGATTATAAGATTCACACATGTAATGCACAAAAGGTTATTAAATTTGATATACAAATGATATTTTATCCCTAAAAAAATACGATGAACCTTTCTTTCAAAAATATTAATTTCGTCTAAACATTTAATAAATTATGAACATAACAGTTTCAAATAAATCGATCTAATTATTGAATAAATAAAAGTATTGTGCAAAATACCAATGAAATTAACTTGTAAAAAATATAACCTTAATTGTGAAATTATTTTTTTCCCATGAAAAAAATGTAATAATTGGATGAATAATCAATAGAGGCGTTCTCATAATCATGCGAACTAATGCATTTATAACAATGAACTTTCTTGTGCAATTCAATATGAATAAATACAATGTTTATGGTGCACATTTTCGAATGTTATCATGGAAGAAATGCAAAGGTTGCATGTTCCTTATTACTTTATTTCACGATTCTCCCCGAATAATAATGGTGAAAAGTTATTTTTATTTTTGGGCGAAATTACAAAGACATCTTTGTTCTCATGTGAAAAAGGTTATAAGATTCACATGTGGGGAATTTGTCAATATCAACTTTCAAACACTTGATAAAAAAGATGAGATTTGACATACGGAAAAACTATTTGTTGATCATCACCAGAATTATATTAATGTTTTTTTTGGGACGAACTTATGAATTTTTTAATTATTGAACATCTTTTTTCTCTCATATGAAGAAGAAGATTATAAAATTCACATGTATAATGCACAATAAGTTATTTGAATTTGATATACAAATGGTATTTTGTTCCAAAAACAATATTATGAAACTTTTCTTGCAATAAAATTAAAAGTTTTAATTTTTTTCATCTTGACATTTAATATATGACAGTTTTCAAATAAAGGGATCATTATTGAATATATAAAAATATTGTGTAAAATACCAATAAAAGATGAGATTTGAAATCCATTACAGAATTAGATTTTCAACAATTATTTTAAGCGACAAAACGATCAAGAATAGACTAACTCGTAAAAAAATATAACTTTAATTGTTAATGTATTTTTTTTCCCATGAAAAAAATGCATGAATATTTCAGCTCGAGGCGTTCTCATAATCATGCGAACTAAACTGCATCAATAAACTTTCTTGTACACTACCCATATGGCTAAATACAAGGTTGGAATTCTACGTCATTATTATTTTATTTAACGAAGAAAAATTATTCTATTTTTGGGCGAAATTACAAGGACATCTTTGTTCTCATGTGAAGAAAATTATAAGATTCACACGTGTAATGGCTGGATTATGTGAAATATTGCACATTAAAAATATACTTTTTTTTCTTGATTATTTAATAATTTAGTTCATATCAGTTTTCACGATAAATATCAACTTTTTGCTGATCATTACCAAAATTAAATTAAAACAACAATTGTCAAGCGTTCGTATTTGGGAACTAAAAATATTTAAGTAGGGTGCCTTTTAATTCCGTTTGCTTTAAAACGAATCTTTTGCAACAAAATTTTCAATACACAGAATAACACTGACATATTTAATATCTAAAATGGCAAAATTCAAAGAAGAAGGTACAATTCTGCCGCATTTTTTTTTTTTTTTTTTTTTTTTTTTTTTTTTTTTATGCACTAGAACTAGACAATTTTTTTCGCCATTCTTTCAGATGAGGTTGAATATGAAATGAGCGATGGTAAGAAAGAAGGCTTCGTAATAGACGTTTTACCAAAAAAACTCAATGAAGAACAGCAATACATCGTTGTTCCTACTAAAACTACTAAGAAAAAGGACGGAAGTTGTGAGTTTAGTCGTTCATTGTCACGTAACTAATGCGTTCATTGATTAACCCTATAATCTTTTATTTTTCATTCTTGCCAAGATGTCTATGAGGAAAAGCACAAAATGAAACTCAAAGCCAAGTGATAAAGAAATTCCTCGAAATTCGCATTAGTGGAATTCATTTTCAAGTTCTTTATTAATAACAATTTCTTTATGTATTATCTCATATAATAAAGCAAGCTCTTTTTTTTGTATTGACCAGGAAATATGTCTTTCATGTTAATATTCGAATGATTATACAACGCATTCAATTTTATTTAAAACAAGAACATTTCAACACATATTCCCATGCAACACTAAGCCACGTAAGTTGCGCATTTATACCAAGATCATCCTTTTTATAAAAAGAGAGGACTGACCAAATTTTGTTTAAGCATTTTTACTGATTTTTGAAGATCACAATAAAAAAAAAATTCGCTAAATGTATTCATAGAAACAAAGATTACAAATTATAAATAATTGCAATATGTAAATATTTGTGATATACTTTCATGATTTTCCGAAAGAATTACCTGAATGGTAATTGCGAATTTCCAAGAATGATCCAACTTTGGAGTTCATTGAAGAATTTTCTATGGGTGTAATGATCAAAGCGTCATCTGGGAACTCAAACAGATTTGAGAATAGGGATTAGACCCGGTCGGTGTACACCGGATGACCACAGGTGGAACAGATTTCTCCGTAGAGCCCGGGTAGTTGTAGTTAATTTCGTAAATCGCATTGAAGTCTATGTACTTATTAAATAAAATTTTCTCAACGTTCGAAATTTGAAATTTATCTTTTATATGTTGAATATAAAAATCTAACCGAATGCCAATTTGAGAAAATAATTTATTGTGTAAATAAAAATATTAAAAGTACAGCTCGCGACATAAATATCCGGAATATATCACGACATATAAAAGTATCACAAATTCTATTTTATTTATTTCTAATTCATACAATAAACATATTATAAAAATTTAATTATTTATTGTATACCCGTTTTTAATCCGATCCGACATACAATCAGCTAAAATTAAAGAAAATATTTTAATCGAGACTTTCCGAATTTTGCCTTGAAAAGCATCCGTACTAGAGGTTGGAACCGGTTAATTTTTAACCGGTTAATTAACCGGTTAAAGAATTTTCGCCGGTTCCAACCTCTAATCCGTACTATATTTTTTTTTCCCTAATCCAATCATTAACCTTTTCCTCTACTTTTCCTTTAAGAGTTGACCACAAATTCTTGATTGGGTTTAAGTAAGTCAAAAATCACCGGAACAAATTAAATTAGAAAGTAGTTGGAATTGAAGAATTTCACGATATTACGGCCAAAGAATTGCTATTTTAATTTTTATATTAGTTGATGTGATGGTGCCTTTTTTGTACTAATAATAAAAATTCCGGATAATTATGTCACGAACTGTAACTACAAGATATAACATAAATTTTTATTATTTCATAATAGTGGATAATGATGTTAAGAATTTATCAATCCTATTACATCCGTTCCAAACGGATTTTAGCACCTAAATAATGATTCATTTGTTATTTGTAGAGATAATAAATAATATATTCTGTTCTGATTAAATTCATCTGGATGTAATGGGTAAAATCCATATTCAGGGGCCCGAGCACTCAAATTGCAGGTGACCCGGTTATGGGATCCAACCACAATTTCTTTTCGGTTTATTTGTTTTAATTTTCAACGAAAAATTTTATATTCTTTCAAATCACTCTCATATTTATATAAATACGATATAACGGTACATTATTTGTTTTTTGCTTTTTATAATCCCCATATTTATTTTAAAAAATTCACTGATGTCAATTATCAAAGAGATTGAAAACACTACAAAATAGTCATGAGACAACGAGTATTAAAAATGCTTTTGACAAGAAAAGCTTAAATACTTTAGCTGATCATCTTCTAATTCTTTAATAAATTGTTTATTTTTAATCATCTTATACCAATTATTAATAATCTTAATGCAATTGATCATTTTAATGGATTTATATCCCAACACTTATTCATTAAATTTATATAACGTTTGGAAGCATTTTTAATAATTTCAGGACGTTTACCTTTACAAATATCTAAACTAAGTTGAAAATCATGAGCTTTATTATTAAATGTATAAACTCCTGATATTAATTCCACATAATTATAGAAACTATATATCACTAACTAAAGTATAAGGTTGATCTCTTAAAACTTTAAGAGCTACAAATAGTAAAACACCATAAATTTCATTTTTTTTAGATGTTTGAAAATAATTTACAGCTTTACATAATCCTAAATCATTAATAGATAAAATTAAATCCTTAATATTTACAATATTGCCATTGTGACGGGTAAAATTTTAGATAGATTTAATTGGTAGAATAGAAAGTCAATTTTATTGCCATGTAGATCTTCTA